GCCCTCCTGACATCCACGGCATCTCACCCTGCCTGGCTGGGTGCTCTGTTCTATTATTTGGGATTTGTAACATCAGGAGAAGGAAAAAACCCCAAGGGGAACGTCTGGGATGGGACATGGGTGCTGGCAGGAGTGGCTGGGAGTGGCTCGAGAATCTGGAGCAAGAACAAACCCGGGGGAAGGGGAATTTCCCCATCACCCCCATGGAGAAAAAAGCAAAGGGAAAATGGAGCAGGAGACAACAGGAGCTCCGGGAAGGGTGGCCAGGCACAACCCTTGGGATGTGTGGGATGGTTCAGGGATCTCTGCTCTCACCAGGGCAGCTCCTCAATGCCAGCTCTTCCTCCTTCCCCTGTGGTTTCTGCTGCTGACAGGGGGTTTAGGCACGGGATGTGGCTCAGGGCTCAGTTCCCTGTGCCGCCTTTTCCCACACAGCCGAGCCCCTGTGCCAGTGCTGGTGCCAGGTGAGCCAGGCGTGTTCTGGCTGCAGGGTGAAGAACTGCATGGACACCAGGGCAGAGCTACCAGGAGCTTTGCCACAGATCCCAAAACTCCAGCCTGGTTTCAGGAACAGGTGGAGGTTTTCCTTTCCCTGCCTGCAGCTGCAGGTGGGTCACAGATCTAGCTGCATTCACCCTCCAGGGCTCCAACAACCCAGCCCCTCTCGCTGATGGGCATTTCCATTCCAGGAACATCACCACACTGAGAGAGCAGCAAAACCCGCCCAGGTTCACCCTGGTGTGGGGATGGCGTCTCCTGTGGCTCGTGGTGCAGAGCAGGGACAAGGGCACTGTGGCTGCCCTGGCCTCACAGAGGGCTCCAGGGCCAGCCCTGTGAAGGAGCTCCATGGTGGGGCTCTGCCCAGCTCGGCTTTGGAGATGGAGCCTCTTTAGTGACCATTTGGGTATACTTTGCCCACCCTGCTCTGGGAGGGGGAATTTGGCAGTGCAGAAGGGGAGCATTGAGGTGGCATTCTCATGTTGGAGCCCTCGCTAGCAGAGCTGTCAACTTTCCCTCAATTTTCCCCTTGCCTTTTCAAAATATACCCAAATTCCCCATTTCCCATGTCGATTCCAGCTTTTCCGTTGTGGTTACTTATTATTTCAGCTCTTTAGCAAGGACCTGGGGACAGACCCTGCTACCACCACACTGATGTGAGCCCTGATTTGAGCCCCTGGCCCAAATTCCAGCCTCTCTAACCCTGACACCAACACCAGCGTCCCATGAAACACAAAGGAAATGGGGCCAAATCCTGATTTTGGGGGTAAACCAGGAGGAAGCCCTGAGCAGCCCCAGACCCCACAAGCTCTTCCCCACTCACCTACAGCATCCAGGTCGTGTGGGAGCCCACGGCACTGCCCGGCCCTGGCGAGGCTCTCCCGGCCACAGTCCCGCTCCTGGATCTGGGGCAGCTTCGCTTCGTGCCCTGAGCCCCAACTCCGAGGATCTTCATGGATCTGCTGCCCTCCCACCACCCATCCTGTCACCGTGGGGGCTCCCACGGCCGTGGGATCCCGCTGTGGGAGTGTCACCCACCCTGGCCTGGCTGCAGGGGCTCAGCTTGGCGACCCCGTTGTCCAACGCAGCCGTTTGGCAGCTGCTCTGTGGTCTGGATGTGGGAGAAGTCAAAAAAATGTTTCTTATTACTGCCTCTTCCTGCCTGGCTTCTCTCCACCACTCCCAGCTAATAAAGCATTTCCTATTGCTGAGCACACAGCCACGACCAGCCTCCCTTCCTCCCGCTCACCGGGCCCCAGCTCCATCCTGGTTGCTTTCCCTTGCCTCTTACTCCCTCCTTGTCCTTCACCGAGCATTTTCCCACCCACTTTCCCAGTCTTCAGGGCAAACCCTATCCCATGGTGTGGACATGGCCATCACTACTTCACCCTGAGCATCCCCAGGTCTTTAGCAGGAGCACGGAGCAGGGATGGGGATGGGAATGTTCCAGAGAGATGCTGTGGCAATGACCTCGACCTGCTTGGCCACCCCTCCTGCTCCAGCCCTCCCGGGGATGGAGCTTTGTGGCAGAGCCAAGGGGCTCCCTGCTTCTTCCATGCTGGACCCAGAAATTCCAGGGTGCAGTGCTAAAGTGATGCCTTCTTGGGCTACCTAAAAACAGAGGCCAGGCAAAATTAAGGGAATAAAAAGCAGTTCTATTTATTGAAGGGCCTTTAGGTACATTTCAGGCAGATGAAGCCCCCCTAGGGGCGACACCCAAAAAAGGACCAAACTTATAGGAGAAAACCCATGACCCATCGTCCATTTTCTAACGAAATGTACAAAATGTTCCTGAAGGCCCTTTAATAAATAGAACAGCTTTTTATTCACTTAATTTTACCTGGTCTCTGTTTTTAGGCAGCCAAAAAGGCGTCGGGAGTGCACAGAGGATCCCCCCCGGGGGTGTAACACGGCATCAGGGCGTGATGGAGACGTGCAGCCCTTGCTGTGGCCGCGGAGCAGGGCACGGTGGCCAAGTGGCTTCACTCAGAGCCTTGTGCTGGCCTGTCCCCGCTGTCCCCACACCACTCTGGGTGACAGGCACTGGGACAGGGTGGGCAGAGCCGTTCCCACGCCAGGGACCGGGCACTTCCCTCTCCCCCGAGCTCCCGGCACCGCGGGCAGCGGAAGCGCCGCTTCCCTTTTTGCCGCTCTCAGGGCTGTCCTTTGGGCCACCCCAATCTCAGCTGCTTCTCCCTCCTCCCGTCCCACACTTCTCCCTCCAGTGCCATCCCCAAACCCCATCCCTGCCTCGCTGCCAGCTGTTTCCCTGGCACGGTGACCCTCTCCAGCATCTCAGCTTCTTTCCCAAGGAGATGCCAGGGCCTGATTCACCTTCCCGCTGCCATTGCATCACCGACTGCATCCTGAACCCACCCGGAGCCTCCCAGCGCCGGGCACGGCGGCGGCGGAGCGCGGAGCCTGCCCCGCTATCAGCCGCCATCTAGGAAGTTCAAGCAAACAAAAGCACAAAACCAGGATGAAACACGAAGGACCTTCAGATGTGACTTCGCCCGTGCGGACCCGGAGCTTTGGCGCGGGGGAAATGGGCAGTTTCCATCAGATTGGAGCTGCCCAGAGGAAGCCGATGCCTGCAGACATCTTATCTCCGTGACCATCAGGCGGGTCTCGGTGATCCGGCCGGATTGGCCCCTCCCGGGGTTATTCCTGGAAGGTTCTTGCATCCCTTCCATGGGAGCAGACACAGGGCATCCTGCTTTTACGGCTGCGGGCAGGAGTTATTCTGGGCTCGCCAGCGCTCCAGCAAGGGCTGCTGCTGCCTGGTTTGATCCCTGCAACTCCACCTTTCACACGGGCCGCCTCCTTTTTAAATCATAACCATCACTGAGGGGATAAACAATGCTTAAAAATTTCTGAAAGTCCCTACATCCTAATCCTGGGCGACTAGAAGGTCAGAGATGGGTGAGAGCCCCGGGCTCAGCTGCAGCTCTGGCTCTGTCACGGTGGGAAAGTGAATTCCTCCAGAGTGGGATCGACTGTAGAGGTATGGGATGGGCAAATCAGTCCCACCGCAGGCTCCTCCCCGGTTCCAGCCCATGTCTGGGGCACAGGGGGTGAATCAGCGGGGCTGGGCACCACCCACAGTCCCGTGCCAGCCGCGGTACAGCCTCCCGTCAGACTTCCCTTCATCATCCCGCTGCTCATCGCTGTGATTTCATCCTGCAGAAGGGAAGGGGCATCCCTGGACCACAGCCGGACCCTCCCCGGGTGCACCCAGCCGTCCCTTGAGGTCTCACTGAGCCATCCCCGCGGTGGCAGGGGGCGAGGGGCCGGTGGGAGCGCGTCCCTCCCTTCCCCCTGCGTGGCAGGAGCCGGGCTGGCACGGCTCATGGCACGGCTGCTCCATGTGCCGCCCGCCCCCGGCTCATCTGCGAGCGGCAGGAGCTGGCGAGGGAGGGCAGCCACGTGCGGGAGAGCCCGAGAGAGCCAAGGCACCGAGGGGAACAGACGGGGAGGCTGCAGCTCCTTCCCCACGGGAATCCTTCCCTGCCTGCGGGGAAACAAAACCTCCCGGGGCACCACAAAGGGCAGAGCTGCAGCCTCCAAGTGGGGAGTGTGGACTCCTGTCCCCCTAAAAAGGGGGTGGTGCAGGGATGGGGCCAGGAATTATTTATGACCTGGGTAACTTTTGCTCTGAGCGCTGTGACACCGCTCATTGCCCTCCTGGAATCAAACTCTGCCCATGCTGCAGCAGCCCAGCTTCACGTTCCCACACTCTGGGATGGAGCTGGGTTTGAGAGGGGATTTTGAAATATGGGAACATCAACACGCTGCTGCTGCTGCAGCACCGGCAATGCTGGAGCTCTGGGGGCAGCTGGGGATGGAGCCAGAGTATCCCAAGCTTGGTTTCCAGCCTGTGCCTGCAGCTGGGGCTCCTTCCACAGCATGGAGCTGTTTCCCTGTGCTGAGCCTTGGTGTGTCCATCCACCACCCAGGAGCACACAGGAGTGGGGAATGTCACTGAGGATGTGACAGGGTGGCCAGGGGACACTGCCAGCAGAGGGGGAGCATTCCTGCCAGCCCCACAGCAACCCTGAGCTTTATTCATGGAATCAATCCTGTTAACATGGCAACCACTTCCATTTTAATTTGTTCAGCCACATTCCAACGCATGCCGTGGAACTGAGAGCTTGGGAAGATCGAAGAGGCAAAAAAAAGAAAAAAAAAAAAAGAGGAAATAGCATAGGAAAGACTTGTGCCACAGCTCCCTGGCATTCCTGGAGCTTGGTCCAGAGCCTCAGGACATCAGTGCCCAGCACGACATGTACCATGCTAGGGTGGCCACCCTTGGGGTGGAGAAGACAAGAGGCCAGGCAGGGCCTGTGAACCCCTGGGGATATTTCAGCTGGGTGTGTGTCCCCACATCATCCTCCTCCCTCGAACATTCCCATCCACTGGGAACAAAACCACCCCTGTGCCAGAAAAGCCAGCAAATCCGAGGGGACAGCAGGAGCCTTGTCCCCGCACTGACATCTCCAGCCTTAGCCTTTCTTTTTCTTTTTCTTCTTCTTCTTCTCCCCCGCCTTGGCCTCCTCGGCCGCTTTCTTCTCCTCCTTCAGCACCTTGTACCTCCACTGAGGTGGCTGCAGCAGGTGCTTGTCCTTCACACGCGGCTTCCTCTCCCCGGCGGACGAGCCCGAGGCTTTGCTCACTTTGATTTTTGGGACGGGCTCCCCGGGGAAGATGCTGTTGGCACGGCGCAGCCACAGCGGCAGGAAGCTCAGGAGGCGGCCGGGCGGCTGCCGGGGCGGCGGTGGCCGCGCCCCGGGCACGGCGTGGCCATTGCAGGAGGATCCCCCGGTGCTGGGGCGAGAGGACACCTCTGACTCGTCACCTGAAGCCGGGACGTGCTGCCCGAGGATCTCCGGCACCGACAGCCGGCGCTTGCCCACCTCGGGAGGGCTGTCGGGGCAGATGGTTTGGCAAGCGGTGGCCACGAAAGGGCTGGCAAGGGACGTGGTCATCCTCACCATGTGGTCCATCACGCCGTCCTCCTCGGGATTGCGGGGGATGTTGAAGGTGAAAATGGAGCGGATCTTCTCCGACAGCCTCTTGCTCCTGGATTTGGGGCTCAGGGCCTTGGCCACCAGCTCGGCCAGGGCTGGCCACTCGGGCTGGTACTGGGCTCCAAACTGCTCTGCCCGCGGGCGCCGCAGCAGGGTCCGGATGCGCACGGTGGTCTCGAAGCGGCCGGTGAAGGTCGCCCATTCCCGGGCTGTCTTCCCCTTCACGGCATCCACGGCCTGCAGGTCAGCTCCTGACACAGCAGAGAGCATCACTAAACCTCGGGATTTCAGCTTTTATGTTTTTGAAATCCTGTGCTTCGTTAGGGAGTAACTCTAAACTCCATATGGAGTGTTGGTTAACTGTCTTCACGTTTTGGTCAGACAAAACAATTCCTCTAGGAATTGTCAAAGACACCCTCCAGCCTCAGGCCCCAAAAAGTGTAAACAAAAGTGAATTGGGAAGGAGCAAACTGGGGGAATATGACTTCATTACCTGAAACTAATTGGAGGATTAACCCCTGATATGTAAATAGACCAAACTCATATCTGTGTGGAAACCTCATGACCATCATCCATCTTGGGTGTAGACAGATGACTGCCCAAGATGAATCCACCGAAGGCCTTTCATAAATCCCCACTTTCTTCTCTTAACCTTGCCTAGGCAGCCCCTCCAAGGCACCATCACCACCCCAGCAGAGCCGCCCCTTTCCCAGGAGCGCCGGCGGTGCCCGGGGCGATGCTCACCCGCCAGGAGCAGGGCGGTGACGCAGTCGCGCTGTCCCTGCACCGCCGCCTTCATCAGCGCCGTCAGCCCCCGCGGGTCCCGCTGGTCCACCTCCAGCGCAGGGTAGTAGTTGAGGAGGTAGTTAACAATGGTGATGTGTCCTTAAGAGCCAGAGAGAAGCTGTGTTAGAGTTCCCACAGTTAACAGGGACGATGGCTGGGGCCTCTCGGACAAAGGATTTAGCGGCTGCGTTCCGTGAGGATGCAGATGTAGAAGCTTGAAGGGATGGGGGTTGAAAGGGTTTGGGTTTGTTTTGGTTTGGGCATGGGGGGAACAGCGCTAATGAACCAGCTGCTTTAGTGGAGAGCACAGGAAAGGGTCCAAAAATGCAAAAAAAACCTCATAAAATCATGAATTCTAGCAAGGATACAATGGGAATCGAGGGTGATCCCCACTTTGGGACCCTTCTCCTTCCCCTGCTGGTAAACTGGGGGGAGGGAGCCAGACTGGAGCTTTGGGCCCTCCACAGAGCTCAGAGCCTTTTGGCTCCCTGTGACTCCTGGAGCTTTCCTGGAGCACATGGGGCAGCTCCAGCCCAGCTCTGCCACTGGACACGGCACAGTTTGAGAGAGCACCCCTGCAGGAATCTCCATTTTCACATCGGTTTTAAAGCAGTGCTGAAGTGAACCATAAACGTAGCTGATGTCACATGCATCCCTTTCCCGATAGGAGGTTTTAGGGTTTTTGGGGGAAGCACAGGGGGTCACATCCCTTCCAGAGGGTGCTGCTGTGCCCAGGCTGGGTGCAGTGCTGACCTGCCTGGGCAGCCATCATGAGGGCTGTGTTCCCATCGTTGTCCTGCTGGTTGATGTTGATGTAGGGACACTTCTGCAGCAGGGGCACAATGTCCACAAAGCCCTTGGAGCAGGCGACCATCAGCGCGTTCTGGAGAGGGAGCAACACTCAGCAAAGCTTCCCACCGAACTGTCCCCCCACCCAAACCAGGCAGGCACAGCACGGGAGGGCAGGCAAGGTTCTGCTGCAAGGATTGGATCCATCCAGGAGAACCATTCCACCCTCTCCCTCCTGCTCCTCCTGCTTTAGCAGCCACCAGCCTTCAGGGTGTGTCCATTCCTGGAAAATCCTCTTTCTGCTCTGCAGGATGCCCACCCCAGCCACTCACCCTCCCGTTGATGTCCACCTCTGTGGCCTCGCTCCGGGTCACCCCACACTCCAGCCTCTCCCACACCAGCTTGGCATCATTCCTGGCACAGCACTGGTAGAGGCTGAGGAGCCCAGCACCGTCAGCCTCTGGGGACACCTCATAGCAGGGGTACACAGAGTCATCAGAGAAGATGCTGCTGCTGTCCGAGGGCTCCGAGGATCCCGATGATGCATCCTCTTCCTCCTCCTCCTCCTCCTCATAGTGCAGCTCCGGGTCGGAGGCATCCAGGCTGGGAGTGGGAGCTGCAGCACGTTCTCCTCCACTGCAGGCATCTGTCATCCGGCCTGGGCGGGGGGAGCCAGCCCAGCTCGGCCCCGAGCCCTGCCGGGGACCAGGAGCCTCTCCCGGGGCACTCGGGGGCACTCGGGACTGTCACTGCCCCTGTGGGACACAGAGGGGACACTGGCACTGTCACTGACACAGAGGGGACACTGTCACTGTCACTGACACAGAGGGGGCACTGGCACTGGCACTGTGGGACACAGAGGGGACACTGTCACTGTCACTGTCACTGTCACTGTCACTGTCACTGTCACTCCCTGTCACACACAGAGGGAATGTGGGACCCGGGTGGGCTCCAGTGTCCCTGATCCCATGGAAGCCCCAGCTGCCTCCCAGCCTCCAGCCCAGCCCAGCAAGCCGGGTTCCATCCCCTGCCCCCTGCAAACGCTGACGTGGGGGTGTCTGCGAGCTGTGACACCCCAAGAGGGGAGCAGCAGTGGGAAAAACAGGGGGACGCCTCGGGAGTTTGAGAGGTGGGTAAGTGTCCCACAGCCTGGGCAAGAATCCAGGGGGTGGAGGGGTTGGGAATGGCTCCAGGGCTGCAGGGAGCTGAACAGCTGGGCTGCTGTGCCAAGCAGCAGGAGGAAGGACATGTCCACCCCCTCACACACAGGCTCTGAGCCCTTCCCAGCCACCCTCCCCATTTATCCAGGGCACAGCCCAGGAGATGCAAAGACTTTTCCCAAGAACAGCAGCTGGGAGCAGCTCCTGGCTCCCCCAGGACACAGGCCAGCCCTGGAACGGGAGCTGTGGGTAGGGATTAAATCCTTTCACTTCTAAGCAGAAGCCATTAATTGATGGATGCCATGAAAGGAGGAAAGCCTTCAGAATCCCACTAAACTTTCCCACCCCTTGGATGTTCCCAAGCAGGCTCTGGGGATGGAGGATCTCACCTTAATCTTCCCTGGGACTGCTCAGATCTTCCCTGTGGGTTCCTCTTCAGCTGGCAGCATCCTGGCCACAGCCAGGAGGGAAAAGTCCCCAGGCCACTCTGGAATGTCCCTCTGTACCCTCTGCAAGGTTTGTGCCCTGTGGCTTTTGGCACCAAAGCTGTGACAACCTGCACGTTGACGTGGGCTCAGCTACCCAAGAGATCTTAAATTAAACTGTTGCTTAAAATGGCTGCATCCACCCTGAGCAGGATCAAGACAGGATTTAGTGTCTTTAGCCGAGGAGCTGCTGGGAGCTCTGGGCTGTATTTTTGTACCTGTCTCACTTTGGCGTGACAGTGCTGCCTGAGCAGTCCCACAGGCTCAGCTGAAATCCCAAAAACTCCTTCCACCTGATTTTCTATCCAGGTGAATTGGCTGAGCAGATAATTCTGGGAAGCTGCTGCTCCAGTCAAGGGCTTGGACACCTGAACTGTACACGTGCCTTCAACAAACTCTGGGATTTCCCCTGAAAGGTGCCTGAGAGTTTCTATCCCTCCTGCTCCACTGGAAATGAATTCCAAAGCTCTCAGGGCAGCCTCAGCCCGGGAGTTGCAAACATTGTTTTCCAAATTACATCTGAAGCCTGACTATTCTTTTATCTTCAGCTTTAAAGGGTTTTTTGCTGTTGTTGTTTGCATGTGGTTGGTAGGTTTTTATGTGTTTCCTGAAGTTCAAGGGTCATCTGGACTGTGAGATCTGCAAAAAGACATTTCTAGTCCCTGGATCAGCTATTTCCTTGCCAAAAAGACAGGAATTTGGTGCCAAGGCAAATCGTGGGAGGCCGTGTTCCCCGTTTTCAGCAGAGTCCCAAAGGGCACTTTGCTGCATCCTTGAACATGAAAATGTGGCTCAGATGAGGGATCCCAGCTGTTTCCTCTGTGCTGGGAAGCACAAGCTGGGAATCCTGGAACTGAACACAAAGATCCTGGAGCTGAACATAAAAATCCTGGTGCTGAACATAAAGATTCTGGTGCTGAACATAAAGATCCTGGTGCTGAACATAAAGATCCTGGTGCTGAATGTGCAGATCCTGGTGCTGAAGGTGAGGATCCCAACACTGAACATCAGAATGCTGATGCTGAATGCCCAGATGCTGGGCATGCCATGCCATCACAGTGTCACCCTGGTGTGACACCTCCTGCCACCCTCCTGCTCTGCCTCACCTCAGGGAAGGACGGGGAGAAGATTTAGGGCTTAAGGAGTCAGCCTGGGAGCCATGTGCCATAATCTGCTGCCTGGAAAAATCAGGAGGCTCTGAGACAGTTATGTAAAGACAGAGCTGGGTGCTGGAATGGGTGCCCAGGTGGGTGCCAGGGGTGGTGGCAGCACAGAAAGCTCTTGCTGGTTATTCCAGATTTCCTCTATCTCAATCCAGGCAGTTTGTGTCGCTGTCCTGTTAGGACCGTGGGGCTGAAAGCAGAACCGGAGTGTTTTATCCTGGTTTGTGGAGCTGGGAGGTTTTGGGGGTCCCTTGAAAAGTCAGCACAGGCACACAGAGCTCTCTCTCTTTTGTTCTTGCCCAGATGCCGAGAGAGTTGCCTGGGGCAGGTTCCCCAAGCCGAGTCAGCCTGAGGCAGAAAACCTCTTTTATTCCTCTCGGTGTGCTGGAGAATCCCATAATACCTTTTTGGCCACTGTTGCTGTGGTAACTAATGTTTTTGGAGCCGGGAAAGATGTTTCTTCGACATTTTATTCCCCTCTCTTTTTCACTGTGTCCACCTGGGACAGCCATGCCAGGAAAATTGGAGCCCCTTCTCTGCACAAGTTCCAGCTGCTGCCCATGGAAGTGCCACTGCTGGGGGGCACGGGGCAGAAAACCCAGCAGCATTCTGGACCTAAAAAAGGCTTCCTCCCTTTTTGGAAGGAGATTTTTGTCCTCCAGGGTTTTGTTTTGTCCCCGTTTCCCGTTGCTCGGTTGGGGGAAGAGGGAGTTCTGTGATGGCAGAGGCTGGATTGCTGTGTTGATTTTCCTTTGCTCTCTCTCTCCACCACAGGGTCAGGGGAAATGGCTTCTCCACCACCTTGTCTTTGTGCCCTGGGCCACCTGGCCTGGACACTGGAGGGGCTTCTCTGCCCCTTTGTTTTTATTGTTACTGGGGAAGGGAATTTCTTGCCTTAGAGCCTTTGTATTTTTAGTTATTGTTGTTTCGTTATTAATCACTGTTGTGGTTTTTAGTAATTGTTGTTTTTTCACATTTATCTTCTCACCTCTGTCTCTTTCTGTTGGTGAAAGGGCAATGCTTAAAACTAAAGGAGAGGTAACTCATTTGCCAGGCTCCACCCCATTAAAAAATCTTAAACTAAGAAAAATTTGGCTCCCAACTAAAGGGACTCAAGAGAAAAAGTGACAAAAATCCGGTTTTTTTCGGAAACATTTGTACATTGGGTGCAGAACTCCCTGCTCACCATGCAGCTCAGTCTGTTGTGCTGAAGAGGAGCAGCACAAGGACCAGTGGATGGGGCTGCCAAGGTCAAAGTGTGACAGGGACACCTGGGCTGGCAGCACAAGGGACACAAAGTCACTCCCAGCCTGGTGTGCCCAGGATGATCAGGGAAGGAATGACCCATCCCAAGGGCTGGTGAGGGAAGGATGGAATTGGCCATGGATGCTGTCCCTGGTCACCCACTGTGACACTGATTGGTGCTGGCTCTGAGACAGAGACACTGCACTCGTGATTCTTGTAACAAAGACTCTGCACTTTATTTTTGGGAGTATTTAAACAGGGAGTTTGAGTTTTCCAGGCACACACTTAGGATTGGTTACAACCTCAGCTACTCATTCCCTTGGCTAATGTTCCATCTGCACTTAGGGTTCAATAGATGGGCTGGGATTCTCTGTATTTGCTCAAATCCCTCCTACTGTCACTCACCCACGTACCTGCCTGCCTACAGGCTGGGTTTGAGACTGCAGCTTGAAACAGCTGCAATATCCACAGCTGGGAAAGGTGAGGTGAATGGAGCAGGGCCAGAGGAGGCCGGGCAGGGTGATGCCATCACGGTGTTGCAATTATGTCAAGACAGACTGGACTGGCATCACCACCAGTCCTTTATTATGAAACTTTTCGTGCTTTCTTTTCAGTGAACTTCTTTCTGACAACTCTGACTCCTCCTCTCCACTCTGCATAAGCAGCTCAAGCCCAGCCTGTCCCTTTCCCTGCTGCCTGACCCTGTCTGTCCCTCACACATCTTCTCACCATATCTGTCCCTTGCATGGCCACCTGTCCCTTCCTCCTCACAGCACAGCCAGCAGCCTCCATCCCAAACTGCAGCACGCTCTGGGTCTCGAGCTCTAACTGCAGTCAGTGGCCAGCTACCCCACTCTTTTATAACACCCAAATTCATTGGGCAGGCAGAGATGTTTCCTCAGTAATTCATCAGCATCCTTTCAACCTCTCTTCCCACCCCACAGCCCCTCAGAGCCACCAAGGCGAGCACCACGGGCTGGCAATGGGAGGAGGCACCAGGGGATGGCTGGAGATGGAGCCTGAGCCTCACATCACTGCCAGGACACCACCCTGGCCTTGGAAAACAAGTCCCATGGTGACATTGCAGCGCTGAAAGAACTGAGATGGACAGTGGGATTCATTTCAAACATGGCCTTATAATGACCAGGGATAGAGAGCACAGCAAAGAAAGGAATGGGGCTGGGTAGGGAAGGCAAGGCAGGGCAAGGGAGGAGAAAGGCACAGCAAAGCAAGGCCAGGGAAGAAAGCAGGAGGCAGATCCGAGTGTGGGATGGGTGTGCAAGGCAAGGGAGGGACAGCAGGGCAAGGCAAGACAAGGCAAGGGCTGGCTTTAAAAAGCGAGGCAAGTGTGACATAGGCAAGGAAGGAGAATGACAGGAGGAGCAGCCAAGACAAGGCCAGATCAGGAAAAAAGCATCAGGGATGGGTAAACACGGCAAAGCAGGGCAGTGGAGAGGTGGGAACAGCAAAGGGAGGACACAGAGGGGTCAGTAAGACCAGAGCAGGAATGGCAAAGAAATGCAAGGTTGAGTAGAAAAAGGCAAGAGAAAGCAAAGGAGAGGTTGGCAAAGCAACGAGAGTCAGGGGAGAAGCAAGCAAG